CTTCTTTTTTCCCCCTTTTTTCCCACCAAATCAACATATTTCATACCATCACAGGAATAAATTACATTAAAGAACAAAAGAAAAATGTTATTTGAAATTGTAATAATATTTTCACAGTATTTGTTTTTGCTGTATTTTTGATCAAATATGTGCATCTTTGGTGAACATAAGAGACTTATTTTAAAAACATGAAAAATTTTACATACTTCAAACTTTTGAACAGTTGGTGTATGTGTGTCTAGCATATATAGTTACTTATGTATATACACTAATAGTATTTAAACAAAGAAAATTATAATCTCCCAAATCTCTGTTCAAATATCAGCAGTATATTGGTCTAGTACCACTCATGCTCTCTATTAAATAATAGCTAGCTATTGTTGAAATTACATGTACATCTGATGCCTATTTCATGCTATTTGATCATGATTTCAGTAATTATGGAACTGTATTCAAGCATATGCCACAGCAGTGGAATAATAAACTGATCAATGATGCATTAAATTATTTTCCAAAAATAGCACATTTGCACAATTTCAACAGGATGTCTAAGGAATGACGGCATGTAACAGTTCATAAAGCTCAGGTTATTCAGTCATAATTATCCACAAATCAGTGTCAGTAGTCAGTGTTGTTTACTGTCACAAATAATCCTGTCTCTGTCTATGTGAAATGCTAATGAAGAAGCAACTAGACACAAATGAATCAGAAAGGGCCTCTCAATAAGAATTTTAGATTTTGTGAGGACAGTATTTGGTCTTACCTCAGGCCAGAGACTCATTCAAGCCCACATAAGTCACCCATTTGCACAAATCACTTGGAAAGCTTTATATAACCAAATCTAAGGGTCACCATCACTTACCAAAAACACAAGATGTATGATGTACTTTAACAATATTATATATAACAATAACAATACTATAACAGACTTACGTTTAAAAAAACAGTCAATACTGAGATTTAACAGATTAAATCTGGTCTGCTATAAATTATTGACAACTTTTTAGTCTTCTTATTCAATTCATTTAATTTATTTATAATTTTTACAGTATTAAATATCATCTTGTAAATGAATAGGCTAAGGAATTTTCTGATCAATACAGTTCTCTGTGACGATATTCATACAAGCGACCCACAATAACAAAATAATTAATATAACAATTACTACATTTTTATAATGGTATAAATACAGCTTAAACTGCATTACCTCAGATGAAGCTTTGTATACTCACATTATGGTATCTACAGAACATAGGGCACGTGTCCAATGCATCCGGCGAACGTAACCACAAACTACCCACAAAATCACTTCCACGAAGTCACATCTCCAGACGGAATGAAATTCCTATAATAAATAAATCAGACAAAAAGATCACTGAACGGATAGGTGATGATAAGAGCTGAACTTCATGAGCACTGAGAGAGAGCTGTGAGTGTGAGGAGAAGAGCGTCCCACATCTCAGTTTGTGTCAACCTCTCCCCACTGATGATCACACACTCATTCAGTCATATACTGGAAGCCAAGTCCTCTATTCCACTGACATTGTGACTAAATCCGTTTTTTTTTTTAAAGTGCGTATTTTATGTGGTAGGCTAAATAACAATTGTAGAGGTGGCATGAATTTGAATTTGAACTTTCATCTAACAGCTGCACTGGATTATGTAAGTATTAGGCTATTTGAATGTTTAAGATTAGTATTTTATTATTGGACAAAAAGAGCGTCCCACATCTCAGTTTGTGTCAACCTCTCCTCACTGATGATCACACACTCATATTACAGTCATATACTGGAAGCCAAGTCCTCTATTCCACTGACATTTTGACTAAATCCGTTTTTTTTTTTAAAGTGCGTATTTTATGTGGTAGGCTAAATAACAATTGTAGAGGTGGCATGAATTTGAATTTGAACTTTCATCTAACAGCTGCACTGGATTATGTAAGTATTAGGCTATTTGAATGTTTAAGATTAGTATTTTATTATTGGACAAAATATCTTTAAGTTCTGTACTACTTTTTAAATTTTTGCTATATAATTTTATTCAGATGCCCTCTTAAGGTCTAGTTTTGACAGACACTGTAGCTTAACGGGCATCATAAGTTTTTACTGATTCTAGCATGATTCAAACTTTCAGACGCAAAGTGTGAAAAATGTAGTTAATTTTTATAAGTTGCAAGTGACCTAAAAAGATTATTGCTGCAAGATGTGCAGCTACTTCCTCGCGCGCGCGCACACACACACACGCACACACACACACACACACACACGTCTGGTTTGCTATCCTTGTGGGGACTCTCCATAGGCGTAATGGT